GGGACATGGTCTTACCAAATCCGGGCCTTCTGCCAGGTCTCAAGAAGCAAGAATATAGTGTTACCAGTCCAAATAGTAGTTAAAGCTTTACCCATTGTTCATGTAAGAGGAAAGAAATACCTATTTTCAGCAAGTTTAAGAAGGAGATCATTGGGTAGGGTCAATTTCATTGGCAGAATTTGTTGAGCTGTAATAAAGCTCACAAAACAGGGCTTCACTGCAAGAACAGTTTCTGCAACATGCTTTACTGGACATGGCAAATTTGGGCTGATACTTGGGCCATTTGGACCATAGGTAACATTCAGCCAATTGGAACTCAGAGATCAGCACTAAAGAACCAGTAGGAAATGACTGAGATCCATGTTGCTGCGAATGGCATAAGTTTATCTTTTTTGATTGTTGAATAATATTCCATTGTGTATATATGCCACATCTTCTTGATCCAGTCGTCTATTTTTGGGCATTTGGGTTGTTTCCAGGTTTTACTTATAGTAAATAGTGCTATAATAAACATAGGTGTGCAGGTGTTCTTTTGAATCAATGTTTTTGTGTCCTTTGGGTAGATCCCTAGGAATGGTATTGCCGGGTTGTATGGAAGCTCCATTTTTAGTAGACAGAGGAACCTCCAGACAGCTTTCCAGGACCAGTTTGCACACCCACCAGCAGTGCAGGAAAGTTCCTTTTATCGTCACATCCTTGCTAACATTTGTTGTTGCTTATTTTTTTGATATGTGCCATTCTTACTGGTGTAAGGTGGTATCTCAGTGTGGTTTTGATTTGCATTTCCCTGATGATGAGGGATGCTGAACATTTTTTCATTTGCCCACTGGCTGTTTGCATTTCCTCTTTGGAGAAATGTCTTTTAAGTTCTTCTGCCCATTTCTTGACTGGATTATTTGTTTGTTGAGCGGTGTGAGTTCTTTGTATATCTTTGTGATCAGTCTCTTACCAGTTGAATGGAGTGCAAAGATTTTTTCCCAATCAGTGGGGTGTCTCTCTGCTTTGGTTAATGTCTCTTTGGCTGTACAGAAGCTTTTCAGTTTGATGTAATCCCAGGTGTTTATCTTTGCCTTCGCTATCACTGCTTTGGGTGATGAGTCTTTAAAGATGTTATTGAGATGTATGTCTTGTAGTGTTTCCATTCGCAGCAACATGGATGGAGCTAGAAGGAATTATGTTCAGTGAAATAAGCCAGAACGAAAAAGAAAAATATTGGATGGTTTCACTTACAACAGGAATATAGGGGAACCAAATAAGACATCAGTGTTAAAAAAAATAACACAACAAAGCAAAAACAGACAATTATAAACCAGAGACATCCTGCAGGGGAGGAGGAGGGAGAGGGATCTGAGGGAGGGAGGGAGGAGCACAGGGGACTGTGGTGATGGTGCACGGGTGCCTTGGGAAGGAAATTCTATGAGGACTCAATCTGAGGGGGTGCGGAGAAGCAAATATTGTTTAAAAAAAATTAAAAATTAAAAAAAATGACCGAGATGGCACTTCCTAAGCAGAGAGGGAAACAGACGATACCAGCTGCATGCTGATATTCTCTGTTCCTCACCCTGTCCCCTCCATTCTCTGCTTCTCCTCCTGGATGTCCCGTGGACTGCCTCGCCAGGGCCCCTGGCCTTCTGCTTCCCATGTGAGGTTCTGGTGGAAGACAGGAGGGAGGAGGAGAAAGGGACAAGGAATTTCTCCCACATCCCTCCTTTCCTCGTTGCAGACCTGCTGGTGCCCATTTCTCCTGCTGGTGGCCCATCTTTCACGGCTCCAGCTCTCCCTGGGCTTCAGTCACCTTACCTCCCCCTCTTGTCCAGTAGGAGACATGTGCAGTAAAAGGCATCCTACAGCTGCTGGTTTATGCTGCTGCACCAGCCCGCTGTAAACAGCCCTCCATTAAACTTTCTTTGGTTGAGCCCTTTGAGTGTGCCATCTGTTTCCTGCCAAGACCCTGACTATTACACACCAGAATTTGTGACTAACATAAAATGATAAGATTATCACTGCAAAGATGTGTGGGAAGGGGAAAGGACCCAATAACAGGATTACTGCCAAGGCCAGAAAACAGAAAGCAGGTGGTGCAAAAAGATGGATGTAGATGACTTGTGTACATTTTCCCGTGGGCCTGGCCATCTGTGGAAGGACAGACTGATGGAGACCTGGACCCAAGAAACTGTCACTGCCCCCCATGAGGCAATGAGTCCTTTGAGCTGTAGCTCTGGATCTTGGGGGGCTGGGTGTTAGGTGGTTGCTAAAACTGTTTCCAAAGTAGGTAGGGTTGGTGGCCTTGAGATGGAGCTATGTGACCTTGGGCAAGTCACATCCTAGCTGTGGACTTCTTTGTCTGTTAATAAAGGACCTGACTTGGTCCCTAACATCCCTTCTGTCTCAGTTATTCTGGAGTTCTGGCCTGCCCTCATTAGTCACGTGGACTAAACCCCATCTCCAGGGAGTCATTGTCTTAGTTCTTAGAGTCTCAATGTATCTTCATTAAAATAACAAGTACCCAAAGGAAGAAAAATGCATTATTTTATGTTTCTGAAGCTTTTCTGGAAGGGGAGAGAAGAAATGGGCACTCAGTCTGGGGACTAAAGTATCTGTCTCGAGAGTGAAATATCTTTGAGTGCTCATGTGTGTTTTATAACCTTTTCCATAATGTGTTTATTAGCAGTTGGGGTGGGGACCCCAACTATTTGAGTAAAGATGACTATCAAGGAATCTTACGGCTCTGCCCAGTCCTAGATGCAGCTGGGAGCACTCATCACCAGTGTAGGCCCAGCATCAAGTCCTCCTGAACCCCCTTTCTGCCAGCAAGACACAAGAGTGCCACCTTGTAGGAAACCTGGTGAGGGGGGAGATGCCAACATTCCCCGATTGCCCGGAAGTGGATCTGGGAGTAGGGCTTCTGATAAAGCTGCCCTGCAGAGCCCCTTGTCTCTGAGATCAGGCTTGAATCTGATAAAGCTGCCCTGCAGAGCCCCTTGTCTCTGAGATCAGGCCTGATTCTTGGAGGGGCAAGTGTGTCTGACTGCATCTGCCCTCTGCAATGAGGAAGAAGTCAGTGCCCCACATTGCAGCTCAGGCCTCCCTGCTAACATTGAAGAAATAGTACTTGAGGTTCTGGACTTGGGCAATGCCTCTAACTCTGATGCAAACCTAGGGAGCTCTGTGGGCAGTGGGCAGGAAGGAAGAGGGTGGAGAGGGACTGCTCTGGCTCAGGTGCTTCAACCCTCTGGGGGAGCATTTGCTCCCCTCCTCCTAATCCCTAGATACTTCACCCATCTCTAGACCCTTGTTTCAAGGGAGGTCTGGCTGAGGCCAGGCCAGAAAGGGATGGGGGTATGGGAGACGGGTATTTCAGGGTCTCACCCTTGCGTGACCCCACCTCACCTTTGCCAGTGATGGCTGGGGTGGGGACCTGATTCCAACTGGCTTTATACTTTCCCTGGGTGGAAGAGCTCACACTCTGCCCATAGGAAGGCTCCAGGCTGTCTCCCAACATGGCCACAAGGCCAGAACAATAATCAAGAATGTGGGTTATATCCTGGTAGTCTTTGGGGCTTCCATTCAAGGGGGTTCAGGGGACTGGACCTATGCAAGGTTGCCTGGTTACAACATGACACCCTACCCTTCCTCTGTTGATGTCTTCCCTGCCTAGGAATGGGGGCTGAGAGCTCCCAGAGAACCTATGACTTGGGTTGGGCCACCCTTTGGTGCTACTGCCCTGACTCCCAACCCAGCTGAACTCTGGCTGTCCTCTGTCCTTCAGCCTGGATGTTGCCTGTGAGCTCTGGATTCCTAATGGGCTAGCAAAGCCCCTGGAGGCAGCAGCCTGTAAACTGGGTACAAAGGCAGAGAGAGGGACTCCACAGTGCAGTTCTATTAGACCCCACACCCTTCCCCTTTACGGCCTCTCCCCATGCCTGGCCCAGTCACCATTACCTCCACTTCTCCATTTAGGAAATCCACTTACTCACTTACTCGTCTGTCTGTCCATTCAAAGAAGACTGCATTAACCATTTTTCTCCAGCTTTGTGCCAGGGGCTCAGAAATATCAATGAGGCCTCAGTCTCCCAACGCTCAGTCTAGTTTCAGAGGGCAGGTGAGCCCAGGTGAAGAACCAATTGGCTGGTAACTCCAGGTCTGGTATGATAGCTGAAGGGGGTGCAGACAGGAAGGACTGGAAGGGGGCCCCTCACGGGAAGCTCAGGGCACTTTAGGAAGGAGAAGGATTTGAGTTGAGCCCTCCTCAGGGATGAGAAGGATTTGGAGCAAAGTCACCAGCAGGGGCACAAAAGTGGAGGGTTAGAGGTGAGCGTGGTGAGAATGCAGATGTCTGGAGCACAGGGGTGAGCAATGGTGCAAAGAGAAGCCAGGGCCTGGGAGAAAGGAGCACCAGTAAGTTTCTATGAGACACGCTCCAGAAGTTGAACACATAAGCATGTTCCAGTGTAGGAAGGTGTCCAGCCCGTTGTACACTGTGTGTGTGTGTGTGTGTGTGTGTGTAAGCAAATGCACAAGCCAGCTCCAAACTGCCTAGTTCTTTACAAGTTAGATTTCATTCATTCATTCATTCATTCACTCATTCACTTAGCTCACAGCTGGAAGTGCCTGCTACTTACTAGGGCTGGAGGATGTTAGGTTCAAAACCCTGCCCTTCGGCAAGTCAAAGACCGGTAGTTAAGGGTAGATACTGTGATGATCATGGGTCCTGCTAAGTTAGAGCCAGTACACTTCTTGGGCTGTGCAACAATTCTAATCCTCTCCAAAAAGGAATGGGGGATAGTGGAAAAGACTTGAAGTGGAGCTGACTCTTTAGGGCACAGGGTGGCTACTCTCCCCTCTGGGGGTCACCGGAGTACTGGGGTGCAGTGAAAAAACACTCCAGGAAGTTGCTCATGCCGCCCCTCAAGAGGCAGTGCTTCTAAGGCCCCCCAGGGGCGCTGTGGGACTCTGGCGCAGCTCTGTTAGGCAAGTTGCTTTCTCTCAACTCGCACTCACTTGCTGGGAGCTTTCCCAGCCAGAGGCGCGGCGTCCCGCCCATTTCGCATTTTCCTGCACACACCGCTGGTGGCCCGCGCTGGCTGGGCTGCCCCTGAAGCCCTTTCTGCTTTGCCCTACAGTGACAGCGACATGGGTGTCCCCCCGGTCCCGGAGGCTGGTGGTCGGAGTTGGGGACCTGCACTACTTGCTTTCTTCCTGGTTGCCTCCCGAGGTAAGGTCAGTGGGAAGTTATACGCCAGGGAAGAGTTCTCCGAGGGCTAGGTAGGCAGGTTTAAGGAGCTCACCGGCAGGGGCAGGATCGGGGTGCCCCTCAGCATGCTATGATGCCTGCCCTGTGGCAGTGAGACAGCAGGTTCTCTGCCAAGAGTCCCGGCTGGTTGATGAACATGGTTGTATTCTCTGACAGCTGCCCAAGCAGTTGCCTGTTCAACCCTTCCTAGTTTAGGAAGCCCAGAATCAAATAACTTCTTGAGAAGTTAGAACAGGAGAAAGACTACGGGGGGGGAGAGGGTACCTCAATGTGTCCTAATGGATGCCACTGGCTTATGACACCTGTGGCAATTCCCTGACCCTCCTGCCTCTTTTGACACTCGCCTTGGGAGGCGCACTGGTCAGTGTGGTAACTGATCCACCATCAGAGAGGGGCAGCATCGGCCTTTCTCCCCACCCTGAGGGTCTGATGTGAGCTGATTCTTGGCATCTTAGTGAAGTTATAGCTCAGGGAGGGTATGGAGGCACTGGGAGGATGTGGGACACTTCCCCAGTCTGCCACGAGCCCCTTCTGTGTCCTTAGACAACTTTTGGCATCTCTTTGCCTCACTTTTCTCAGCCCAAACACAAAGACCTTATATAAGAAGGTGCCCCTTCATCACAACTCCAGGTAGTATCCTGGGGCTCCTGAGGGTGGGAACTGAGGTTGCTGGTTCTGGCCTGACCAGAGTCTGGACCTTAAGGGAAGAGAGGGCTGACAGGCACCCTGTGGAACTAACTTTATGGGGAAAGTGTGGGCCCAGAGAAAGTATAAGTCATGCAGGGAGCTAGAGCAGGCAGGAAGGAGGTGGGAGCTTTAGCACGGGGACCCAGAAGGAGGATCAGAAGCAGCACAGGGGGGGATAATATAAGAGGGAGGGGAGGAGGCTGACAGAACCTGGAAAACACCCCAGGAGCAATTGGGGCCTGCTTGTGACATGCTATCTCAGCACTTGGAGACTGGTTTGGGCCTCTGATAAGGGGAAGAGAGTCCATATCCCACAGACAGAACTACCCCAGGCCTAGCCTCAATAGTCTCCAGGACAAAAGCCAAGAACATCATCTAGGAAGAGTGCAGGGGGCAGTCTGGGCACCAAAGCCACGGCTCATGACAGGGTAGGCTTCTAGAAGCAGCAGGGGATGGTGGTAGGCAGGAAGGCCGGCTAGCACCTGCCCACCACAGACAACCTGGCTTCCCATCCTCCCCAAGTAATCCTAGAGGCCCTTCCTGTTTTCTGCTCAGCAGCCCCAATTTGGGAAACTGATTTCTAGACAATTAGGGAATAGAGCTCAAGTTTGTGGAGTAGCAGGTAGGAGAGAGACCTAGACCAAGCCCTTGAGTGTCCTCCCAAGGACAGGTTACGTGGGCATCACTCCATATTGTCTATGTGTCCAGAAGCCTTCACCTCCAGAGGTCTTGGTTCCTCGAACAACTTGATATGCCAAAGGGTCATCTCTTCCTGGGCCCTACTCAGGGAGATAACTGAGCAGCTTTACACTAAAAGGATTCAGCAGCATTCTCTTAGCTTTGAATTACTCTGGGTATGCAGATGAATCTTCTCAATATTCTTAAAATGGGCATGCTAATGAGTATTCATTCTACTACTTAGTACAGTGCACAACATAGCAGATAACAGATGGGAGGTCTGGTTATAGGCATGCTCAGGAGGATCTGTGAGTTGGAAAGACCTGCTCACTGGCCTGCTGTGGGGCGGGGTGGGGCTGCCCTGCGCAGGGCTGCTCAAGGTCAAAGCCTTTATGTCTCTGAAGGTAGCATGGAAGTGGCTGTATAGGCCTATCCTCTAGCTCTTGGGGTTGGGCCAGCACCAGGAGACTGGTGGTGGAGAATATCATATTCAAGAGCCCCAGAAAAGTTGAAGATACCCCTTTCCTAGACCTGACTTAGGCTGAGATGGCCTGGGGGCACCCAGGAAGCTGGGACCCAGCAGACCTTCCCCTCTAGGCATTCCTAGGACTCCTATCAGTTACTGTCCTTACTACGTCCTCATAGGCTAACACAGGAGTACCCAACATGGAGGCACACTGGGGCTCCGAAGGGTAGACCCCACCTAGCCCTTTATGGTAAACAACGTTGTTGAGCAACCCAGTGGTGCAAGGCTCTGACGCAGCAATGGTCAACTCTTAGGAAATCCACGACCCACCGCCTGGAGGCCCTGGGATGGGGGTGGGGGTGGGGAGAAACAACCTTGAGGCCAGCCCATGGGCATGAGACAGGCAATGCCAGGGGCCACCAATAATGGGGAGCTTCTTTCGGAGCTGGGCTAACTGTTCTAATTTCCCAAGCAAAGCTGGGGCCCTGCTGGGGCCTAATCACCCTGGGCCCAGTGGGGAGGTACCTTGCTGTGAAGCTGAAAGAGGCCACCCCCATGCACATACAGCATATGGGGTCTTAGGCCCAAGCAGACTGAGGGAAAGAAGAAAGGAAGAAGGGTTCCCTGGTGCCCATCTGGCCTACTGGCAGTGACCCCTTAAGCCAGCATTGACTAAGCCCTGAATACCAAGTTTGAGGTCCCAAGCTGGAGGTCCACCCAGGAGCAGTCTGACCTGACCAGGGGAGACTGAACCAGGGATTGGCAACGTGGCTTCTGGTGACCCCTGGGGACCCCCTCAGTAGCAGTATGGGCATGCCTAAAGCTTGGAAATGGGGAAGCGAGGGATCTGGAATTGGTTGCCCTTTACTGCCCCTTTACCTGAGAATTCTGCCATAGGAGCCAAGTCAGACTTGGGTTAAAATTCTCAGATGACCATTTACTGCTTTGAGAATTTGGGTAAGTTACTCAGTATTCCAGAATGAGTTTCCTCATCTCTAAAATGAGGGTGATCACAGCACTCCCCTCAGAGGGCTGCTGTGAAGACCCAATGCACTTAACACAGTGCCTGGCACCTGGTTATTGCTGGGCCATACATATTTTGCTGTCTCTTGCATTTGGAGGCAACGTGCATTGGTTCTCCGCCTCAGTTCCATTCCTTGCTGCCTACAGAGTGCCCAGGGCACATGGAGTCACTGGCTGGTTTCATTGGGACTGGACTCCTAAAGATCCTGAAGGTCAGTCTGAAGGATGCACAGACGGGGCCGCCCCCCTGTAACACCTATGGGCACTTACAATGCCATACTCTGCAATGTCCCAGGAGGCCCCTGTGGATTCTCCTAAAGTCCCCCAGACATAGGGATTTTACAACTTCAAAGCAAGTCCAGCCCTGCATTTGCCCGACTCAGTGGGATCTTCCTGGAACTGATCTCAATACTCAGCCTGTTTACTTTGGCTGATCATCCAGAGAGGACAACGGCCACCATCATGTCCCTCAGCAATTCACTAGTGAAGTCCAGTTCCTCGAACCTTCATATCTAGGATCATATTCTCTTTGGAGACCTGGGGTCAAGTCTTGACTCTGCTCCCCCTTAATCTGAGCCACAGACAGGCTGGGAGACACGGTCTCAGCAGCGCTGATCACTTTTTTCTGGATATTAGCCCCACAGCAGTGTGTCCCCAGCTTCGGTCACATGCTCATTACCTTTGGGAACTCTGTAGTATCTACCTATGATCATAGGTACTTACACTTTCCTTTAAATCTACTCTTTCTTAAGTAAATATGTTCTAAAAGGAATCTTTATATCACTGTCATAAATGGAAAGCCCATATCAATGTCAATAAATAGAACAAAATCATAAAAGCACGTGACAGGAAAACCAAATAAGGGTATTAAATTCTGGTTGGAAACTGTAGCCCGGGGAAGGCTCTGAGCCTGAAAGATGCTGTCCCTTGCAAAAAAAAAAAAAAAAGAGGTTAGCAAATGATAGAAGACATGTTAAAGATATACTGCTATCAAAATGGAGCTTTCTCTTTGATATAATCAGAACTGAAAGAGAACTAAAAAAGTAATAACCTTTTCTCTATGTGACTGAATGTTCTATAGTGATGTAAAACAAAAAGTAAAACTATGAATGCTGTGAATGCCTCTTTATCACTACAGAAGTTACCTCCCTAGTGTTAGCTGGGGCAGGGGATAGTTCAAGTTCAGTTCTCCCAGTGGAAAGGAGATGGGATAGTGTTCCCATCCTAAGATGCCAGAACAGGCTCAAGGCCCCTTTGGTCTTCTTCCAGCCCCCAGTTCTCCCAACCTCTGTTGCTTTCCCTAGCCAGAGCTTATGTCCAAATAAAGGCAGAGGCACCAGCTGGGTCCTCTCTTGTACTGGGGCCAGTTAACCATCCCAGTAAGCTCAGGAGAGGGAAAAGGAGCTTGCAGCCCAGGCAAACCGGGTCCTCTTTGGTCAGGTCCCCTGTTTATCTGCAGCAAGAAGGTGGAGCCTCCAATCAATCCCTGGCTATCTCTCCTGTCTAGAAGGTAGACAGTCGCCCCAGATCTCCAGGGCCAGACTAGCTGGGTTTAAATCCTGACACTACCATTTTTACCACTTGTGAGACTGTGGGATAACTGCTCTGTGCTTCTCTTTCTTCATCTGTTGGGGGGAGGGAGGGAAGATTAGTGAATCCACGTAAAAGTGATTAGAATGATGTCCAGTGCAGATTAACTGCCCTTCGCTACTACTGCCACTGAGATTCCTGCCCTGAGGTCAGGGCATGAAAAGACTGAGCCTTAGGAAGTCTACACAGCACAGGATCTCAAGGGCTGCTACTGGGCTGCATACTGTCATCCTCAGGGATGGAGGGAGTAATTGTGGCAAGTGTCCACCAACAGGGCCACTGGATAGCCACCCATGCCTCCCCAGGGATGTGCGCTGGCCAACAGCCACCAGCCCCGGATGCATGGATGCTTTCCCAAGGTGCTGGAAGTGTGGCTTCCTCCAATAGAGACTGGCTTCCCCTTCCCGGTCTCCTTGGCCTGATGTGAATGGACACTTCCTGCGGGGGCAGGTATCAATAAACACATCTGAGACACCCTTTGTCCTAGATAGCCAGAGCCCCACAGGCGGACCTGCCAGCGTGGAGCCTTCAGTCCTTGCCCCAGGCCGACTTCCTGGAGCTCAGGGCTGGCACATTTAGTCCAGATTGGGCCTTGCCTCTGTTTCCCTTTGTGCTCTGCATCTTGATAACTACTGAGACTAGCCCTTCCCTACACCTTTTCTACACCTGGCAGGGAGCTAGAGGCCAGTGCCACATCTGCTTGTGGCTTCCTCCGAGGACAAGGATCTGATCCTTTGCACCTTGCACAAGGCTGGCAATAGCAGGCGACCAGTAACTATTTACTACTTGGAGCAGCTGGAGATATTTGGGTGGGGCTTCCCAGGCCTGACTAATCATCAGGGACCCGTCTCCAAAGGCTAGAGTGTTTCCTAGGCAACAGTGGGCTAAGTTCAGGCCTTGTCAGGGAAAATACACAGGCCTGTCCACACCCACACCCATCCATCTAGTCCACACCCACAGGGTTTTGGAGCTCCAGGGTTTCACCAGGCGCCTATTGGGTGGACAGAGGTGAAGGTGATGAAAGATGCTCTGGAGATGAGCCCAAGCAAGAGGTTTACTTCCTGCACCGAAACAGAAGTGTCTGACAAAAGGCCGAGTCCACCTGTGGCCACAGGTCCCACAGAGAGAAGGCCGCAGAAATAGGACTAAATTCTGAGCAAAGAGTCCTTATGCAACTCTGCACCCCCGAGGCCTCTCTGCCTTAGGCTGACTCATGATAGAACCTCGGTAAATATTTGAGGAATGAAAAAATGATGTTTTAATTTGGGTCTGAGGCAGAACAAGGATGGCTGCATGGAGAGCAGAGTCAATTCCAGTTCAGTTCTCGTGGCTGGAGGGTAAGGTGTCAGCTCCGCCCGGGGCAGGGTGGGAGTCCCTTCCTGCCTGCAGGGTTGCCTGCCCAAGCTGTGGGTTTCAGGTTAGTCACGGAGGGCTGTGTTGTCTTGGGCAAGTTGTTTTACTTCCCTGAGCCTGTTATCTTTAAGATGGAGACAAAAATAAACAACCAGGGGGTGTTATGAGAATTAAATGCTAAATTACTCAGCAAACCCTAACATTCAAGTGTCACGGACACCTGTGATCACCCTTGTGGCTCATTTCCTATGCCCTTCCTCTTCCCTGAGGAAAGATAGCCCTGTGCTCTTACCACAGGTTTCAGAGCTAAAGAGGGCTTAGGAATGTGGGGAGTTTCTCAAGAGAGGATGAAGAAAGGCAGCCAAGAGAAAGACGGAATGCACCCCAGGGAACACAGCAAAGGCGTGGCTAAGCAGGAACTGGGGCCCAGGGGTCTGCCTGCCTGGGCCAGGGCTTTAATCCTGAGACCTGGACTTTCCCGGGTTCACAGCATTCTTCCTCTAGGTGCTTCTGTTCCTTACCCAGTGGTCAGAGCGCAGCACAATGACTGGATGGATCCCGCCTGGGCACAGGCTCAGGCCCAGAGCTGGGGGCATTTTCCTGTCTCACATGCTCGCGGCCACCCTGGAGCCAGGGCCTTCCTCCCCTCCCATTCTCCCGTCTCCGACAATGCCCCAGGTGTCCAAAAGGATCTGCTTCTGACAATAAGCAACATCCTCCTGCCAAATAATTATAATTCCAGCTGGGCTATATATATCCCCTGATAACACACGTGCGCGTGCGCAGTTGCGGGCGGCATGGGGTCTCCACTCTTTTCTCCAATGCCATGCCCTTGAGTGTCCTCCCAAGCACAGATTGCAGTGGGCCTTGTCCTGGCTGGAGCCTCAGACACAATAACCAGGATGTTTTCTCTCCCCACCAAGGACAAAACCTGGTGGACCCTTGGCCCAATCCTATCTTGGCCTTTTGCTGAAGCGGCACACTCCCTGCCCCCCAAACTTGAATTCAAGGACAGTTTCTCCTTTCTCGAAAAGGGGAAGAAGTTGTTCTAGGGTGTGTAGGGTTATAGGGATTGAGTAATGCTCCCTACCCCTATGTCTGAACCCCAGTTCTCTCTGTGAGTTTTCATGTAAATTGCTTCTGGGGCTGAAAATCTGGTCCCCACTGTTGTTTGGGAAATTCTGTGATCATTGACACAATTGCTTGGACCCTGAGGATGCTGGGCCTGCTTCCCTACCGGTGGCGCAGCTGCTTCTTCTCACTCTGCCCTACCTCACCCACAAGTGGGCCCCATCTTGTCCACATCTCTACCCCACCTCACCCACACCAGTCTACTTTGCAGTCCTACCCTCCCCCCACTCAGCTTTGTGCTCCACTTCTTGCCTCTGCCCCCATCTCGACTCTGCCTGTTCCTCTCTACCATCCCAGACCTGTGGCCCAGGTCTCTACTGAGCCAGTCCTCTCTATAACCCTCAAGGCGCGTGCTCACGCAAATACTGCTACATCTGGACTAGATTCTAAGCCTCGGTTCAGCTTTGGGGTGGGCTTGAGATGACAACGAAAAAATGGAAAATAGGACACCAGCTGGGAGGGGTGCTGGTGGGAGCTGGCACAGGGCCAAGCAAATATGGCAAGAGAGTGAAGAATTTAGAGGCTGTTGAGGAGTGGTGGGGCCTGTGGCAAACTGGAACACTAATACATCTTCTAAAGAGAAGGCCGCTACTCTCCTGTAATCGCTATTGCCTTTTAGGAGTTAGTTTAGTGTTAATCTGACTTTCAACGCGAAACTAGAAGTCCGAATTTTCATATCAAATTCCTTATTTTTAAATGTCAATCTCAAATTTTTAAAAAGTACTTTAAGGGTCAAATAAAACATGTCTGAAGGCTGGAAGTGGCCTGCGGGCCGTCAGTTTCAGAACTTTTGTCATAAGATTATCTATGTGCTGGAATTTAATTCTAGCCCTTATTTACTGTGTGATCTTCATTGAGTTACTTAATACCTCAGTTTCCGTACCAGTGAAACAGGAATTAAAATAACAGCTACTTTATAGAGTTGTTAAAAATGTTTCTAAGGTACTCAGCATAGCATGCATTACATGCTATTTCTACTACTTCTAGATCTGTATCTATCCTGATTTACTTGAAACTCCCATAGTCCAGGTTCTGAGTTCATATCCTCCAGAACTTCAGGCAAATTACTTTCTCTTACTGGGGCCTCTGTTTCTGCATGAAGACCTACATCTTCCCAAGCAAGTTTTGAAATCTTTGCTCACTTTAGGAATGACTTTCCAAAAATCTGGGCTCCCAGACCTATCTCCCTCTCACACGTGGCTGAATGAGTGGGAGACTGGTGTGTCTTTCTTTCCTTCTGGGTCCTAAAACTCTACCCTTGTAGACATTCTTTAGGGCCATGGCTTGGCTGCCTCCCACACTGTTTTAAATATGCAGGTGCTCCAAGACTGGATCACAAGCTGTTATCAGTCATTCACACCTTAGTGGGAAATACTTTGAAGCTGGTGTCTCCATTCTATTGTGCAAAACGTTTTTTACTCCTAGGAAATGTTTCTTGCCTCAAGTCTGCCAGGTAGACATTGGCATTTCTGTTTTATAGTGAGGAGTCTGAGGCTCACAGGCAAGTGACTCACAGCTATTGGACTCCAATGCAGTCTGGTCTAATTCCAAAACTGTATCAGGCTGCCTCCCTCCTGACTGGGAAAGGCTCTCAGCTCTGGTGGTAGGTCCCAGACTTTAAATGTAGGGAAGGCCAGTCTGGAAGAAGAAGAGGCATTACCTGGGTTCAGGTATTGGAAATGAAAAGGACATACCCGTTTGGATTCTGTACATATTTTCAAACTCTCCTTCTCTGTCTGCCTGCCTGACAACAACTGCTGAGATGCCAATTAAAGTAGCACGATGCCTGATGCTCACAGCTATTCTTCATATGTCTGCAGAGGGCATTTGAGCTCACATCTTACTCCATTCTTATCTTTACCTCACTGTGTCCTTTCATTCACTATTATTGCAGCTAATATTTTCCTTATTGCACATGTGAGGAAATTGAGGCACATACAGCTTGATAAAGCACCTAAGACTCCAGCCCTAGGAGTCTGCTTTCAAAAGCCAGTACTTTCATCAACACAGTTATATACTTAGGGCTTGGGGGAGGGCAAAAAGGAGCAGCAGATGGCTTCATTTGCTTATTGAAAGCAAAATGAAGTAGAAAGTATTTCTAAGGCTGGGTCTCTGTCCCTCAGACACCTTGGGTTTTCCTGCTTCCCTACCACCTGGCCCAGCTCACTCTGTCTACTTGCTGGAATCCCGTCTGCCCATCAAGACCTAAAGAAGTCTTGATAGACTTCAAGAAGTCTTCCCTCCTTTAAGAAGTCACCCAACTGTCCCCAGGAAAGCTATGTCCCCCAGTGTTCTAAAGGCGGGTGCTGGTCTGTGCTTTGTGGGGCTTTATCACCAAGGCAGGCCTTGCCTGCCCAGCTAGGTGAGGTGCCTGGGGAGCAGGACACACGCTCAGTCTCCAAGTGAGAGGTCTTGGCCCCCCAGGCCTTCCATTAGTGTTCAGGATGAGGTGGGAAGGCAGAGCTCAGCTCCAGGAGTGGGAAGGGCCAAAAGGTGTTACAGAACCTAGAACAAAGAGCTACTGTTCCCAAATAACATTTCTGCTCCCATCCTGCCTCTACCCTCCCACCCCTACAGCACTGGGCATGGAGGCCGGCAGCGCCAGGCGCTGGGTAAGCTGGGTAAGCTCCTCCCATTCAGCCTGAGATGGAGTTGGCTTCCTGAACTAATGAAGAAGCTGAGGCTGGGGTGCTTGGCTGACTTGCCCAGGCCTGTAGCTGGGGAATGGCTGAAGGCAACCTACATTTTTGGAGCCCCAGGCTGAGGCTCTTCCTCACTCTGGGGGCACCTGTGGTGCTGCTGGCTCAGCCATGTGACGGGCTCTCATCATCTCTCTGGGCAGGTCTGGTGGCTGCCTTCAAGGTCGCCACACCATATTCCTTGTACGTGTGTCCCGAGGGGCAGAACGTCACTCTCACCTGCAGACTCTTGGGCCCCATGGTCAAAGCACAAGACGTGATGTACTACAAGACGTGGTACCGCACCTCACGGGGCGAGATGCAGATCTGCTCAGTGCGCTGGCCCATCCGCAACCTCACCTTCCAGGACCTTCATGTGCACCACGAAGCCCACCGGAGTGGCAGCAGCAGCCAGGTCTTGGCCCAGCACCATGGGCTGGAGTCAGTCTCTGACCACCATGGCAACTTCTCCATCATCATGCACAACCTGACCCTGATGGACAGTGGTCTCTACTGCTGCTTGGTGGTGGAGCTCAGGCACCACCACTCAGAGCAGAGGGTCCACGGTGCCATAGAGCTGCGGGTACAGCCAGGTGAGGGCTACCTGGGATGGTATCACTGTGAGGAAGGTGTGTGGGCCTGCGTGGGAGGGTAAGAGGAGAGGACCGGGTGATGATGGGATGTGGTGTCTCACATTGTGCTGCTATCTGGGTGGTGCTCCAGGGAGCATATGTGAGACGGGGAGGAGTATGGAGCTGGGTTTAAGTCTCTGGTCGGCTAGGCGTGACGGAGGCTATTTGTGATGGGGGGACTTTTAAATGTGAGAGCGTAACTACTTACAACAATACCATGGCAGTGCTAGGTGACCTGGGTGTGAGCTGGTGAACACTCTAAGGAAGGGTGTCCGGATCAGAGAGCAAGGAGTATTGGAGTAGGAGGTGTGGGTGCCAGCAGGCATACACATACCCTGGGCATGGCCTGAGAACTGGCAGGGGTGTGTGTATGTGTGTGCACAAGTGTGCAGGTTCCAGCTGGGCCAACGCTGCCAAGTGGACACTGACAAGTGTATCTGTGACAGGAGAGGGGCATGTGGCCTGGACAAGCCTGGCCTCCTGGGCCTGACAGCCATCTAACAAGCCCTCTCTTTTGTTCCTACAGGCAAAGAAGCATCATCCAAGTGCATCGCACACCCACCCTCCCCCAGAGACAGTGAAAGTAAGGGACCATCCTCTTGTCCCTTCTGGGTTCGCTATTCTGTCTGTCCTCATTCTGGACCTAGACCCCACAATCTGATCTCTGACCTCACTGCCCCAAGAACACAGATACCACAGATATCCCTATTCCTTCTCTTCTCTGCTGCCTTCTCTTCTCTCCTTCCCTCGAGCCACTGGACTGCAGCCCCCAGTGGCTCACTCTCCTTCTAGGCCCTCAGCAGAGGGGGCTGGCTCCTGACTCCCTGTGTCCTGTGTCCAGGCAGTGACTTCCAGACAGTGCAAGTGCTCCATGATGGCTGCTGGCAGCCAGAGCCTGCTGAGCTTGTTTTTAGTGGGTCTGCTCCTGCCCACCTGCCTGCTGCCTCACAGGAAGGTTGGGAGGCCAGGGGCTCCTCTTGGCATGGATCCAGCTACTTCAAAGTCCTTGTTCTGTGCTTGGGGGAGGGAGAGGCCCTAGAGTGCCTACTGTGTGCCAGGCACTAGGCTAAATCCTTTCAAGTGTTGGTAGCCCTGTGGACTCTGAGCACCCTCTGAAGGAGGCGTCACCATCTTTACCTTACATACGTGGAATTGGAGGTGGTGACATAAGTTATCCAAATTCACATGGCTGACAGAACAGCTCAGCTGGGATTTTGCTCACTTCACCTTCTAGCTCAGGAGAGTAGACTGGGTGGGCAGTACAGTGGGTGGCACTCAGTTCCCTGGTATTTACCCAGAGATGTGCACTACAAGGGTGGAGGTGTTGCTCTGAGGGGACACTTGGGCTCTCGGAGCTCAGGGGAGACTGCCCAGCAGCCTGAGGAAAGCAAGGAAAGGGAGGTGTCTGGGACAGCCCCCTCTTCTGAGAAGAGAGGGTGTTAGCTTCCACATTCTTCTATGTGTCAGAATTCCTGGGGCATCCAGTGAGAACCAGCTCCTACCCAGGCCCCAGAGAAACAGAAGTGCCACCCTCCTTCCTGCCCTCCAAGAGGACATGCACTAAGCCCAAAGCCTAGAATGAGAACAGCGAAACTATAACCCCAGCAAACCCCAAATCAAGGGCTGCAGTGACTTTCTCTCCAACTACATTTAGAACACATTTCAGTCTGAGCCAGACCCACATGGAAGTAAGAAAGTCTTCAGTTAAATAAAGCCCCCCTCCCTGTACACCACAGAGCTCTCATGTTACCCTGCCATCAAGCCACTGCCATCCTCACTTCCTCCACTGGGGCAGCTCCCCGAAAGGGCAGAGTGAGGCCTCAGAGCCCCCTTCCTTCCCATCTGGCAGTGTCACAACTGTGCACATACAGTGCCTGCGTACAAAACAGTGTGCACTCACTGCCAGGGCTCACGAGTGTTCACTTCCCCATGGCCTCTTCCACTCTGAGCAACACCCCCAAGTCCTACTTCTTCCTTGAAGCTCCCACAGATCTGCAAGTCACTTAGAAACAGCCTCCTCCATCACTGCCCCCACTCTACAGATGGCAAAACCAATATCCAGGCAGATGAAGGCTCTTGCTCCCCATCTCTCAGACCCAGAGCCCAGAGGCAATGCCAGAGCACCTGCTTCTCATGTGCAAACTCTGCCTGAACCCTGAGCTGCCTCTGTCCGCCCAGTCTTTCTGAAATGAATAAAGTTCAGACGTGAGAGATGCCAGAGGGGACAGGGATGCTAGAGAAACCAGGGGCACAAAGGAGAAGGAGTAGAGATTTGGGTTATTTTTCTTGATCTAGACTATAGAGAAGTTGCTGCTGGAATTAAAGGAACAGAAATCACCTGGGAATCCCAGGTATCTGGCTGGTAAGAGGCCACGGGTAAGAGGCTGGTAAACTTCACTGTCAAGAGTGGGTCAGCCTTCCTGTGCCAGTAAACTCTGCTCTCAGTTATGACACTTTCCTTCCTCTCCTATTTGTGGGTCTGTGCAACCTCACTCTGGTGCTTGCTTCTCTGAGCTGTTGCCACCATGAGCTGGCTTCCTGAGGGCCTAAGGAACATGTTTGTTTTTGTCCCACCTGTTGAGAGCATGGGGATGAGTTCAGTGACCTCTGGAGTCCTCTTCTGATCTCCTAAATTCTCTGTCCTGGAGACTACAGCTCTAGAGGAGTCTTGGAACTAAGGTGGTTGTGGTCCCAGATGAGGAGAAATCAGGCTATACTTTTGTAGGGGCGTTGGAATATATTTCCATTATCTGGGCACCACATGTGTATGAGAAATGGGAACTAGCCTATCCCTTTCCTACTCCCAGGGAGGCACTCAGAGCTATCTAAAGGGCTGAATAGGGGTCAAAAACTCAAATGCCCCTGGGCTGGGAGCTGAGGAATAAGATAGTAGGGAGGGGTGGGGACCGCAGGGAGCACCCAGCTGCAGTCAGTATGGCCAGGTTCAACCGCTGCATGTCAATTGCCAGTCACTCAATTTTCAAGCAAAGGCACAAGTCTAGATTTGACATACTCTCTCAATTTTAAAATGTTGGCAACTAATTAAAAAAATTAACTACTGTGTAGGCCATGGTTTCAACTTAAGTCCATTCAAGTGAAATGCTGTGTGATGAAGTGGCTATAAGCACAGACATTGAAACCACTCAAGTTGCTAATCCTCTGTGTCTTCATTTTCTCACCTGTAGAATGGAGACGATTATAACCGTACTGACGTTTCAGGTTGTGAGGTGAAAATGAAGTATACAGCCCTGTGTCTTTTAACAAGGGAGCTATGTTCTAGAAACACATTGTTGGGTGATTTAGTCATTGTGTGACCATCACAGAGTATAACTGCACCAACCTGGATGATTTGGGTGTAATGGATCACATACCTAGGCTCTCTGTCATGGCCAATTGGGACTGTCCCATATGTGTCCATGATTGGCTGGAATGCCATTAAGCAATACACAACTGTACATGCAAAGCACTAAGTACCATGCTCGGCACACAGCAAGTGCTAGGCAAATCTTGGCCATTATTACTTCTAACTCAGAAGCTAGAATGGCTTCCCTAGTCAACTCATTCATTCCCCTGTGCCAAGGCAAGATGGCAAATAGATGGCAGCAGTGGACACATGTTTTCTAAATAATTTGGAAGCATCTGCTGTGGGACCTATGTGCTCAGTGGGTCCCACTAAGGGCTGGTTTCTGGGTGCTGCCCTCCACTGCCACTTACCTATGTAGTACTTGACTACTTAGCTATGCTTCCACCCAAACAGTTCCTTGAGTTTTATTTTCCTTCTCAAACTGCACCCAGTCTCCTATGTTATCTTTGGGAAATATGAGGATAGCTCATCTAAGATCACCTGAAAGCCCCAGTCTGCCTGTGGGGGGAGGTGATGACAGGGGAGAGGGAGAGAAGAAGTCTGAGGTGTTCAAAGAGCCCTAAATTACTGAGGGGCTGTGGTTTTTCACTGAGCCTGGAGAAGGGGCTAGGTAACTCTTTTCCCAAGAAGTACCTCTCCACCCATCCTGCCACCCTCCCCACCTCCCTCCACCTCAGGCTGCTTTCATCGTTCCTAGGGAACCAGGAAGCACAAACACCCTCCTCCGCATGTAGCCATGGGGTACCTGGCAGGCCCTGGACAAAGACCCACTGAATAGCTGGAGTCCCTCCCACCCTGCCCTGTTGTGTAAGGGCCTGGCACCATCCTCGGTGCTGGCCTGGCAGCCTTCTCTGCTGGTGTCTGATCATCTTCCCAGGAGGAGCCTGACTCTCGATGGCTACCAAGCAGGACCCCTCCCACTCCCAGGTACTGGCCAACAAGTACAGGGAGGAGTTGGGAGCTATGGCCAGGGTGGACTGTGCTGAAGAGCCCAAGGTTTCAGAGGGCACTTGAGCCCATAGAGCTGTCCCCAAACCCTGCCCCTTCTCCCAGCTTCTACTTTCAGCTAAGGTTGTAGAAAAAGCAAAGTCCTGATCTCCTAGAGGGGCTGCAGAGGGGGAATCTTTGCCTGGGAACTGGCAGCACCTGGGTGGAGTGTGGGGGTGGGGCAAGTCTCCCAAGCCCTGCAGGGAGCGGAGCTTACTGAGCTCTGCTTATTTGCACCAAGTGCTTAGAACCAGTCCTGAGGAGACCTGCTTTGATGACTACAAAAGTGCTCCGTGCCACCAGGTTCTCAGATAGTGCCCACAAAAATAAACCCGTGGCAGGACTTGGAAATACTCAACTGTCTGAATTATACATATCTTTGCTTTCACTATTCCACCTCAAAATGCAGCCTCTCTAAGATCTGTGGTGAACCTGCTCTAATGTGGAGCTGAACCTGCTTTGTAATTAGCACAGCAACTGTTCCTGTACTGGTGGTACTTCTAAAGTGCCTGAAAACAGTTTGTTCTTTTCTGCGGTGTGAGCAAACCTTTGAAAGCTTGTTTACACCACAGGGTCTGTTTAGCAATACAATGAGATAGAAACAGCCTTCATTCCTAAGCGACTAGGGCAAAGGCAGCACTCAGCACATCCACTTTCCCAAAGCTCCCTGGAGTCCAATTGACACTGTGACAAGGTATCCCTGCTCATCTTTTGGCCAAGGGAAGAGCTAAAATTGGGAAGGAAATGTGCTTTACTCTGGCTGTGGTTCTGCGGGCACGTCTGTTCCCAGCTAAACTTCTGGAGTCAGCAGATGGACTAAAATAAATCAAGTTTCTCCTGCTGTTGGTGGGAACCCGAAGCAGCACAATCTTTTTGGAGGGCGATTTTAGCAACAGTCTAAAAGAAAATGCACACACTCTATGGCCCAGTATTTTACTGCTAGGGATTTATGTAGATGTGCGTGCCCGAGTGAGCTAAGATGTGGACAGAGGAGTTCACTGCTATGTTATTAGTTATGTCAAAAAATTGAAGCAACCTATGTGTCTGCCAACAGACTATTACAATAAATCGTGGGTGAGCCAGATGATAAAGTCATGGGCAGAATGAGGTAGAGCTCGGTGCCAGCACAGAGATGCCCAAGTCATGCCCATGGGACCAGCAACTCCCACATGTGCTGTATGTGCAGGGAACCTTTCCAGACTCTGCACAGGGTCACTGTATAGTGATTCTCTTTGGAGTGGAAACAATTGCATATAGATATATTTTAACTTAGACATATTTCTTTTGTAATCTAGAAAGTTCAAAATTTAAAAATGCCAAAGATTCACATTTTTCTAGTTCTTGTCCTGGGTTTTCCCCATGACTTGTGTCACAGCAAGAGGTGGGGCTTTCAGAGTCCAGCCTGATGAGTTTGGCCTTTATATTCATTTATATTTTCCTGCGGCAAAATATACATAACATTTTCCATTTTGACTATTTTGAAATATACAATTCAGAGGCACTAATTATGCTCACAAAATTGGATAGTCATCACTTCTGTTTCCAAATTTTTATTTATCACTTGGGCTCCTATTGACCTTGAATTCTGTGGCATGGGAACTCTTAAGGGCACAACCTGTGGCCCAGGGTGGTTGAGTTTTCCCCCATGGGCCAGGAAAAAGATCCTTCTCTATTCCCTCCACCTGCCTGAGTTGTAAGCCCTTGACCTCATTTCCCTGTGTTGGACCCACTGAGGGAGTAGGCATGAGGAGCTCTTTGAAAAGCAGGTCCCCAGACCTGCTTTTGCCTCTGCAGGTCACTGAGGGTCTGGCTGTGAGGTCTGGGTAAGGTGGGTTGCACCCTGTTCTCTGGTGTTCCCTCTCCAGACCTCAGTTTCCCATAAAGAGGAGCAATGGGAATGGGGCCTGATCTTGGCTGCCTCTCTGCCCTTTCAGATATCACAGCTGCAGCCGTGGCCACGGGGGCCTGCATCGTGGGGATCCTCTGCCTTCCCCTCATCCTGCTCCTGGTCTACAAGCAAAGGCAGGTGGCCTCTAACCGCCGTGAGTATCCTTGCCTGTCTGGGATGACCGGGCATCTGAGTACCTGCCCCAGCCTCCAACTCAGCCCCTGAGATTAGCAAAAGTGAGGGGGAGCACAGTTACTTGGGGTTCCATAGATGGGAGCTGCTGCAGTCCCTGCCAGGAGCTGGACTCAATGGAGCACAGCTAATGGCAATGGCCACAGGGCCTGAGTGCTCGCCAACCCCAGGCAGTTGTAGGTGCCTTCAATTAATACTTGCTAAATGAATGAATGATCATATGGAGTAGCTCAAACTGGCTCATAAAAATGCTGCCATCTGAAAATGCTTAGGGAACCTGCTTTACCGTCTGGACCATGTAGACAGACTTGTGCGGTCACTAGTGTAGTGATCATGAAGACAAAAATGACCCTCGATGACCAGAGCTGAGAGGGGTCTTAGAGATAACTTAGTGCAACTCTTTCCTTTTTTAAATGAGAAACCTAAAATCACTGGGATTAAAAAATTAACCTAATATAGCAATATAACTTAGTAAGTTATATGTAACTAAGTTAGATAGCAATATAACTTAGTAAGGGACAGAGCTGGGACCCAAATTCGGAGCTTCCAACTCACAGTCTTGCCAGAGAATATAATCCACCACAGATGGGTTATATTCAAATGCTCACCAGGCTGAGTGCCTTAGTCAACATCCCCTAAGTGGTAGGGCTGCTGTGCCAGGCACCAAGCCCAGCCTGTTACATATATTCTCTCACTTATTCCTCATAACAACTCCAAGACGTCGGTCCTAACATTATCCTCATTTTACAGCAAAACAAACTGAAGCACAGAGAGGTTAAGTAACTGACTTAAGTCACCCAACTAGTAAGTGGTGAAACCCAGGCTTTAAGTCATGGCGACAAGCACCTTCTCACCCTCCTCTGCAGGTGACAATGCCCCTTGGCTTCCCTCTGACCCCACCTACTAGCGTCAGCCAGTCTGAGTCCTCCAGCGGCAGGAGGGTGGGGAGTTCCCTGCCCTTGGAACTGGCATTTTCTCCCTGGCCTCTTCCCTCTGCCTGGCGCAGAAGGTAATGGAGGAAGCGCTGCTCTGGCTCACACCCCATTTCCTTTTGCTGGCCCTTAGCAACTTGACACCCTGGTTGGGGGCCCAACCTGGAACGCCACAGCTGGTCATTCAGGGGCTATTGCCACCTGTCTCAGGACGTCCCTATTTCTCTCCCCAAACCTACCAGGAGCCGCCTACAGAAATACCCCCAAGGTTGAAGGTGGGGCAGGAGGCAGAAAGAGGATTCCAGGGATTCAAGCAGGGGGAGAAAGCGCTGCGGTGCTTCAGCATTTCCATGGTGGAGGGGAAGGGAGGAGCGGGAGACAGGGGCCCTAGGTATTTGCTGTCCCCTCATTCCAGACCACAGCACTGCCTTCATCAGGGAACAGGAACCGGAAAACAAACAAATCCCTGTGACGGGCCGGGTGTGTGGGAGCTAGGGGCCTGTGCTCCTGCTTTTGTTGCCTCACAGCCTTCCTCACAGAGTCCCCAGAGACTGAGCCGAGGCCCTGCCCAAGTCCCAGCTGGAGGAAGGAAAATCAGAGAGGGGACATTCCCAGGCTAGGATACTGCGGGGCTGTCCCAGAGGACACAGGGAGCCGGGGTGAGCCCCAGGGAGTATTTCCTACTCCATGCACTGGGACACCTTCAGCAAGATGACTTCCCTCAGGAAGGAACCAGAAAGGGACAGATGACCTGGGTGCTGAAGAGCTGGACTGGCAGAGGGAACAAGCAGATCCAGGGGGCAGCTTGGCTGTTGACATGTCCTTCAAACCTCCAAACAAATCCCATTTCTGTGCTAAGCAGTCGTTTTCTATCACCTCACTCTCAGATTTTATACATGTGGTAACAGAGATGTCATTAATTTTCTAATAAAAATAGTTTGGAGGTCAGTCCCCCAGCCCCCCTCCAAAAAAAAAAAAAAATGAAAACGAGGTATATGATTCTTAGTGTCAGACACGTGAGATGCCAGGGGGGACAATGCTAGAGAAACCAAGTGCAAAATGGAGAGGAAGTAGAGGTTTAGGTTATTTTTCTTGATCTCAGACTCTAGAGAAGCAACTGCTGGAGTCAAGGGGACAGAAATCACATGGGAATCCCAGGCATCTGGCCATGGGACAGGAGTCCGCCTGGAAAGGGGGACGTGGTGGATGGGGAGATGTGTTGGTTCACTCCGGGCGGGACACTGGCACCAAGCCTGGCCTGGAGGGCGTGCTCAGAAATGAGCCACACTCAGGACAGACACCAGGCTGGGAGCCCTGAGGAGAGTGGTTTGCAATAGATGACAGTGGGGGTGGAAACCTACCCAGATTTGGTTTCCCCAGCTCTAAAGTGGGATCAGCAATCCTCCAGAGGGTGGTGGAGAGGGTGGGTTGAGGTCATGTAGGGCACCCCTGGGAAATAGGCCCAGGAGCTGCCTGTAAATGATTCTGCTACCTCAGAGATCTTGGGAAATTTTGTGCAACTTCCTGCTTGTGTCCAGTTGTGGTACCGCCCCCCACATATGCCTCCTCATTGTAATGGGCACTGAAGCTCTTGAAACAAAAAGGATCTGTGGAGATGGGGGAGCTGCAACAAAGAAGGAAGTTGGGGCCACTGCATCTGGGTTGTGGAGTGGGGAACCCCAAGAGTGGGGAGCCCCAAGAGTAGGGCAGGGCTGCAGCACCTGGAATGAGGAGAAAATATGTGGAATGACTGAGAAATGGTAGGGTCTCAGACCCCCAAAGTTTCCCTCTAGGAGTTGTCACCTCTAGAGCCACTCTGCTGGCAATGTGGAGGAAGTGACATGAGGAACTGACCTTAAAACACCTGTACACAGTAAATCATGGCAAATGTCCAAGCAGAAAACAGCAGATTCAGGAGCAAGGCCTTTGATTGACACTTAGATCACAAAGGTATAATACCACCTAAGTCAAGCTGTAGGAGGATGCAGTGGCTGCTTTATGTGACACCTGCTGTGTACACACTTGCAAAATGCAAAGTTTTGTCATTAGACAAACTGGGATGCTCATTAAAGCCTTGGCTTTGGATAAACAGGCCATTTGGGTCTCTGAAATGAACAGCAGGGGGATCCAGGGCTGGCCTTGGCTCTGGCTGGGCTTGCTGCTGTTCTTGGAGGGGCATCTGCCTGCATGGACAGGGGTGTGACCAGTTTCTCTGTCCCTTTGTCTTAGGTGCCCAGGAGTTGGTGCGAATGGACAGGTAAGAATCATGGAGACCTTCCCGAGAAAATTCCCCACAGGTGCCCCACCCAGACTCTGAGCTTGGCAGGTCCTCCCTCCCTGCCTCTCCCTGGGCCTGTGGCACTGTAGGGTAAGGTCTATACCCAAACTGTGGCTGGAGTTAATGCACAGGGAGAGGGGTAGCTTTTAGCCAGGACAGTCTGTTCTCCTCCCCCACTCTTTCTGCAGGATCTTTTCCCTCTCTCAACTTCATGGTAACTGGCTGCACTACCAAAGGACTGAGAATACAAATGTGGTCTCCCTGGCCAGCTGTCAGGAAGGAGATATTTCTGTGCAGCAGGGTCCCTGTTCGCCGCCTAGCATGTCTGGTTAGAAGCGCATCTGCCACCTGTCACTGTGGCCTACACATCTGTGCCTATTGGCTGTTCTCCCTACCACTCCTCAGTGGTAGAGCGTAGTCAGGCTGAGCTCTGACGCTGCTTAGATGTAGCACATATCCACCTTTGGGCCTCAGTGATCAGCCACAGAGGTGGGATAGGAAACAGCTGAGCTGGAGATACTGAAACAAGCAAAGCAGGCCAGCACACCTGGAGTCGGGGCTCCTCTCCACAGGGCAATTCAAGGAAAAAGCTCTGACTGCAGGCCACAGAAGCAGGGGCTGACCAAGTCAAGAGTGAGGTAGCAGGTCACATAGGGCAGGGACGGGGGAGTGTGTGTTATACTTTCTGGGCGGGAAGCTGGCATGGAGCCTGGCTCAGAGGGCATGCTCAGGAAGGAGCCACACTGAGGAACTGGGTCCTGGTATCTGCAATCTCAATCCCAAAGCTCCTCTGGGTGTTTGAAAGGGATGGTCTTCAAGACAGGACAAAGAAAGTCCTGCTAGGGGTGGCTTAGAATCTGAGAGAGGAGAGGTCTTCAGAAGTTGCCCCACTCCCAAGCAGGAAGAGAAGAGATGCCCTCCCATTAGCTCAAGGCAAGCTATGGGAACTTAAGTCCTAATGCTACTAACTCTACTGACCAGAGAGAAACTTGTCCCTAGATTCCTGAAGCTGGTGTCCCAGAAGTGCCTCTGAGCCCAGGCTTCTGGGCTGAGCCCAGGGCAGAGGGGCAGACCACAGGGTCAGTTCAGAAGCTGCCCTGATGCCTTCAGTTGAGGCAGGTGGGAGTGTGCAGCCCCCAGCCTTGTCCCCCGAGTCTGGAGCCTCCCTTCCTGCTGGGAAAGGCCACTGAGGCTTGGGAAGGCACGTGGGGGAAAGGGTCAAAGTGGCGGGTGGGGATGGGAGGCCAGAGGCAAACCCCAGGCAGCACAACTGACCTTCAGTTCTGATTCTTTAGCGGCAACATTCAAGGAATTGAAAACCCTGGCTACGAGGTCTCTCCACCTGCCCAGGGGATGCCGGAGACCAAACCCAGGCCTCCCTTGTCCTATGTGGCCCAACGGCAGCCTTCTGAGTCCGGGCGGCACCTACTCTCAGAGCCAAACACTCCTCTATCTCCACAGGGCCCGGGTGATGTCTTCTTCCCATCCCTGGGTAAGTGCTCCCCAACTCTCACAGCACTGCAGTCTATAAGGTCCTGCTGGTCTTGTGGCCTGCAGGGTATCAACTTCATCCTCTCTCTCCTGGGGGTGGGAGGTGTACATCTTGGGGGACAAAGGGACCTCCATTCACTCTGCTTTCCCCTTTTTTTTGCAGAACCTGTCCCTGACTCCCCAAACTCTGAGGTCATCTAGACCAACTGGGTTAGTTGGCAATTGTGGCTGGGCCTGGGCCCGATGCTTTCGACTCAAGGCCGGCCTTGTGAGTGAGCCCCGTGGCCTTGGCTCTGGTTTCTTCCCTTCTGCTTTGATCCAAGACTCCGAGATACCCCTGGTGGCTAGAACCTCAACCTATCTGGATGCTGCATGGAGCAGGCGGCTGCATCGCTTGGCCCTTGTCTCAAGGATGGTGGGGTGCTGGGATTCTACTCCAGAGATGTGACATTCACCAGCTACAGATGCCAAATGATCCACAACCTAGGAGTCTCAGGATTTCCAGCTGTGTACAGAGTCTTTCCCTGGGACTTGCGACTTGGGACCAACAGCACAGATGGGTCTAGATGGGCACTGGACAGAGCCCCTCCAAGTGCCACCCCAGTGCCACCCTCCCAGGCATGAGACACAGGATGGGATGTGAAGAGACTCCTCCCCACTGCGGTGGACCCAACTTCCTTATCTCGCCTGCGGCTGCTCATTTGTTAAAATTCACTCTTTGTAACTATGGTTCTGGGCTGGGCCTCCCTGGCCCCTGACATGGAAGCCTCCCCCAACGACGCCTACCAGCAACCTCTCCAAGGAACTGTCAACAGGTGGAACAAATCAAGGCTCCCATTACCTGCATTCTGGTCCCCAGAATTCATTGACAGGCAGCCCCAGAACCAGAAGTACATACTTGGGTACAGTAGCCACTGTGAGCCAACCGGAATTTTGGGCAACTGAGTCCAGGCTGGAGGTTGCACTACCCACCACTCATGGGGCAGGGGGAGGGAGCTGCTTGAAGAGGAGTACACAACCGCCTTCTTCAGCCCTCCTCAGCCGCCACTCCCACTGCTCAGCTGGGTCAGTAGAGAAGGCGACCACGTAATGCACTGTCTGAATTGTGACACTTCTGAGAGGGGGGAGCGGATGCTATTAAAAATGACAGGGGCACCAGGAAGACCCTATGAATGGGTTAAGAGCTGAATTTCTACTCCTACTGATTCGGAGGTACCTGAGGCCACAACTCCAATCTCTGGAGTTCCATTCAATGTGCGCTGAGCCTTTACCACAGAGTGACCTTGTCAGGTGGGAGGAGTGGCTGTGTCCACTGTGCTCTCAACCCTTTACTCCTGTCTCCTGACAGACTTGTTGCTATATATGTGTATGGAAATTTCAATTAAAGGGCTTAAATGTGTGGAGAGTGGAGGGTCTCATGTACACACTGGGGTGGAGGCAGGGAAGGCGGTGTCTGAGGGGGAGGGGTGTGTTTGAGCTGGGCCAGAGCCTTGGGCATGCTCAGCAGAGGGCAGGGTTTCACCTGTGCATTCATCTGCCCCCGGCCTAAGCAGGCCCGGATGAGGGTCTAGTAGTTAGAGAGAAGCTTGCATGGTCACCTGGGGAGGTGGGAGTGGGGATGGAAGAGAGTCCATGGGTCCACAGAGGGTGCCTAGCATTGCTTCCAAGCTTCTTTGCCAGGCCCAAGGGCATGGCCAATAGGGGGCACATCCTGCTATGCCTGGGGCTTAGCTTGAGACCTGGGGGCCTGGAGGAGAGGGTGAGCTCTGGCCTCAAGTCTGGACTGACAACTCCAGTGGCCACAACACCAAAACCCTGAGGCCTGCTTTGTTTCTGGGGTAGGGGGTGGGGTGCCCTCTTCTATTCCATCTGTTGCTATGGGCACTCACTGCCAGGTGCCACAGAAAGAGGGTATGTTCTCTCAGATCTCAGGAGCCCATGGGGCAGTGGTGGGTAGGGTAACGCCTGCTCAGGGCAGAGCTAGGTTACTTGTAGGGTTGAAGGACAAGTCTCCAGAGTCCATACACTCTGTCCCCCAGCTCAGAAAAAGGGGTCCTGACCTTCGAGGAGGCTGACCTCGCCCCGTCCTCAGTTTCTGACTTAATGGTAGAAACAACTTCTAAGAATTTGGCTGCCAGACCCCAGGCCTAGCTGCTGCTGTGGAGAGAAAGGAGAGGGCCCCAGGGCAGAAAGCCACCACACTTCCTCCCCAGCTTCCTCCTGCGTGGCCCTTAAGCTCTGCTTCTCTAGACGCTTACAAGTGAGCTCACGTCAGCTTCGTGGTTTCCTGTTTTCAGTGAAATTTACTCTGAGTTCCAGGCTCCATCTACATCCATGACCACACGCCCCACCCCTGTGATCTTGCAGCCCTCCTCTGCAGGCCCCAGGAGTGGTGGTACCCCTGGGGATGCCAGTCCTCGTGGCTAGCACCTGTGGGCAGGGCTACCCAGAACAGAAGAAGGGAGTGGGACTTCCAGGGGGCTGGGTGGGGCCCTAGGGCCTCTGGGAAGTGGACTACTAGGCAGAGTGGGATTGAGGCAGGAGGCTCACGGATTCTGGCGGTGTCTGAGGCCCTGGAAGGGAAATCTGTGCTTCTAGGCACTAATTCGTTAAGAGATGAATCAGGATTTATGGGCTGTGTAACCCATTTCCTGACATCCACATTTAATAAAGCCCTCCTGCCTTTATTTCCTGTAAGGGAGAGGCTAAGGGGATGGGATTGACTCTCCCTAAAAACACATCATGGAGGCCACAGGAGAGGCTGCCATTGAGTCAGGCTGACTCTGGTGATGGGTCCTGGGGATGCTTCTCAAAAGACCTTCCCACACACAGCAGTCTGGGGCAGATAGGTTGGTGCATTGCTTTCTTCAGGGAATACTCTGTGGTGAGGGGACTGAGGGGGATTCAGAGGATGGTGGGGCTGGGGGATGCACTGGTCCTGACACTCTCCACTCCAGCTTGGTCACAGTAGCCCTGTCTCATGGAAGGGGGTCTCCCTGGACAACAGCTGGAGCATACCAGAGTTGGCTGAATGTGCTGGGGGGCTGGGCTAAGATTTACACAGGGAACCATCTTAAAGGGAACCCAAAGGCCAGAAAGAGGAACTGGGGTTGCCTAGGTTGCTAGGATGCTGGGTGCAAAGATCTCAGAGAAGCAGTTACTCACAACCCAGCTGAGCAGCTGCCCTGCCCCCGAGAGAGCACAACTGTCTGGCCCCTTACTGGGCACTCTGAGTACCCTGCTTTGCATTGTTGCCTCTTTCCTGCATGAACCCTATGACTCCCTCACTATTCTGTGAGTTCAGGGGGCGGAGTCCAACAACAGCCAGCCCTTTGGGCCCAGCTGCAGAGCTGACAGCTGGTGCACTGCAACTAGGTGACGTCTGAATCAGGACGTGGGGTTCTGTTCTCTGGATCACTCACAACTGGGAGGGGACCCTCTGACTTTCCACCAGCTCTAGTTCCTAGCAGCTTCGTGTGGACCTGGTATGACCTCTTCACCAGCAATAATGCCCTGAGATCTTGCAGGCCAATGGACAGAGGCTTCATTCTGTTTGCAATTTTGATCTACTGGCATGACTTCCTGGGGTGTAGAATGAGAGAGAAGTAGTGACACCATGTAATGAGAAAGTGCTGACATGAGCTAGAAATGTCTGCCTTGGGGAAGGATATAGAAGTGACAGTATGACTGTCAAATTTTTTACTTTTCTTATATAATATTCTGCTTTCCAAAACACTTTCATATGTGATATTACATCTTTGAGTCTGCCTACACACCCCCCACCCCCCGCCAACCTGTCCAAGCTACGAAAAACCCTGGGAGGTATCATTGTCCCTATTTAATGCACAGGGAAAGTGAAGCTCCAAAGGGTTTGTTTTGCTGCAGCAAGTGAATGGAACTAAAGCCTGAGTCCTCTGCTTCCCAGGCCTATACTTCCTCTTGACTGAGTTGAATAAGCCAGGTGTTGGCTTGAACTTTACCTTGGACTTGCTGACAGTACATACCAGGGCCCTAAAAGATGGGTTAGTGGCCAAAGTCCACAGCTCCATTCCTTCATATCAACTTCTGCCACTCTCTTTTCTGCCTGTTGATCCTGAAGCCACAGGACTCTTGCTAGGAATGGTGGCCCTTGAAACCCCACTATGTGCAGTAAAAGAGAAGCTGAGTTAACCAGAGAGCCCCACAGCCTCTTGGAGGATTGAGCCTGTTGTTTGTGTACCATTTGAACAGCGGCAAGACAACCCTCAAGAAGCAGGGCAGAGCCTCCCTGGTGGCGCAAGGGGTTAAGCACTGCACTATGAAGCAATCCGCAGCCTCTGCAGCACAAGTTCGATCCCCATGAGTTTGATCCCCAGCCTGCCAGGGAGAAACCCACATGGCACCTCTCCGGTCTCGCCCGCTGCTCCCCTCAGCAGTGTGTTTCAGTTAGTTTGCCTGTTCTGTTCCCCACTCTGTCTCTGGTGAATCCTCTCCCTTGCATCTCTGGCCTAACCCCAGCACTTGTATGCATAAATAAATAAATCTTTAAAAAAAAAAAAAAAAGCAGGGCAAAGGGGAGTGTCTGAATTTAATCACGCTGAGCCAGAGAAAGCTGGCCGACGTGGTGTATGGCACAGGGAAGGGGCCAGGCTGGGTTTCCTGAGTTCAAACCAGGGGAAGTAGGTTTCAAAACCAGCAGCAGGGTCCAAGTTTAATAAACAGAAGGGCCCTCAGCCCTAAAGGTATGAGGTGAGCTGCCAAGAGCAGTTCCTCAGTTCACAGACTTTATGGGGCTACTGCCAAGGCCCCTATGGCAGAAATGTGTAGAGGGAGATTCTGTCATTCTGCTGGGACAAGAGACTTCTTGATGTTTCCACCAGCCTGAAAAGCCAGGATTGGTGATCTGGGATTAAATAACCTGTTGGCTGTGACTGGCATGGTTGGGCTCTCCTTCCCTCAGGCCCTGCTGGTGTCTCTGCAGCCTGGGCTCAGCTCCTGACCTCTCTGCTGCCTTCCGTCCTTCCTCCCTGGCCCAGCCCTTCCTCTTGCTGAGGCGGACCTGAGGGCCGCAGCTCAGACCCCTCCCCCTACTCTGACATCCCTGCTTATAGCCAGAAACTAGCAGAGGGCTGAGGCTGCACAATGACCCTCGCTGGCCGGTGGCACACCATTGTGTGACAGGCAGGGCTGGCCCGGATGCCCCTGTGGCATGGCTGTTCTGAGCCCTGGGTGATATGAGGCTAAGAGCTGGGTGGGGATGGTGCAGGCTGCTTGCAGGAATGTCCAGCTCTCAGGAAACACATGGGGGGTGTGGTAGGGGGATGGGTAGGCCCAGGGAGGAAAAGAGAGATGGGACAGCTCAGATATTGGCTCTGGGAGGCTCTTAGTAGCGAAATCACAGGCTGCCTGCTTAGACAGCCCCATCCTTTAATATTTGGTTACAAATGATACCATGTCCAGAAAACTTTTCTCCTGCCTCTGAGCTCCTTTTGGTATTCATATCATAGAGTATGAAACATGCCCATTTTCCCCACTAAACCACAGGTTCCTTGAGGGCGGAACAGCACCCAACTCATCTGCACTTCCCAGCCTTTAGCACAGGGCTGGTACATACCTGGTGTTGAATGAATAAATGAATGAACTTGCCCTTGCCCTGCAGGAAGGTTGGTCCTGTGCCAGTGAGGGCTGGGCTGAACCTGGTGGATAATTTCAGGTGAGAACAGAGGACAATGTGTGGGTCTGCTGGGGAGAGAGATATGTGCAGGGTGGCACCCACTTCCTCACCCCCATTAGACCATGGTGACCTTCCCGGGAACCTCAGCATGGCTGGTCTGATGCTGGGCTCTGGCAGGTCCTGGAGTTGCTGGGACGATCCTCCTTCCTTCTAAACCCAGTGAAATCTGCCCAGTAGCAGAAAAGGGACCTCTGGCCCCTCTGGCTTGTCTTCAGTTCTGTGCTTGAGGGCACTCATGACCTTGGAGGATTCACTGCCCAAAGGTGAGGATCTTGTCAGTGGATGCAAGTCTTCAAGGGCCTGGTGCTTTTTGAAGGCAAATGCCAGTCATGGTCAGGCACTGGCTACAGGACTTGAGCCTACCAGCTCTGCTCATCCCCACCCTGGCTCAGCTGGGCCAGGGAGAACGGAGAGGGGGGTATTTGAGAGGCTAGTGGAACCAACTTTTAGGGTGTGTCTGAAAGTATAATGGGGATGATAACAAGCCTGCTCTCCTCTGAACTCTCCCTGCTCTCCCAGAACTCACCCCCATTACTTGTTCTTAAGCCTTTGTTCAGGCTGATCTATAATTCTCTCCAGAATTTTGTTATTGAGAAACATGCATTCCATATAGTTCCATAGTTAAGTACTGGGACTTGAGTCAAACATCTCTAAATGCTATCGGAGGAATGACCTGCCAGATGATCTGCCTGAAGTTACGTTCAGTTGGAGAGGGGTTATGTTAAAACTTGGTCCCTCCATAACACTATAGCAAGTAGTGTCCCTACCTGCCCCCTCTGCTATGTGTC